TTGACTGCTCTAAGATCTTGGAGGAGTCTTATTTCCCCAATTTCTTTTTAATAACAAATATTGGGGTATTATGTTTACTGAGAGAGGGCTTGATGTGGCCAAGCCTCAATTGTTCAGCTACCAAATTTTTGAGGGAAGATAATTTAGGTTCTACTATAGGCCACTGGTCCACCCACATGACATCATTAGAGAGCCAGGTGATGGGGATCGACTCAGGGGCCAAGATTGGAGTCGATCCCAGGCAGGCAGTGGCTGTTAGGATTGGGGGCATTGGGCAAGGTGTTGTCCTTTCCCTGATAGTCCCAAATTATCATGGAGCATGATATCATCATAAAAGGCACGGTCATCCGTGGTAAGGACCACGCCCATGTCTTCGCCCCATAAGTTACAGGGAACGTCCGCTACTGAGGGTAACTCTGCCCTGGTTCCCATCCAAGTCCTTCCAATATACCGGACATTTGACCAGATTGGTACCTTGTGTGCCGCCAACTCCTTTTATTGGTGAGCCTGGCTGGTATTTCCAATGAGCCAGGGATTCAGTTTCTGATATAATGGTGACATCAGCCCCTATGTCTACTAGGCCCTTTATGGCAGTTCCATCTAGGAACAGGGTCATTAGTGGGGAGTGGTTGAGGATTGGGAGAGTCCATAATATCTGTCTCATTTCCCTTCTTGTGGGTGGGGCTGAGGGGTACCCCAGGTGGAGTTTAAAGGAGCTGAGTCTGGCTGAGGCTGTGACCTACAGTCTTTAGCCCAATGGAACCCTCTTTTGCACTTGGGGCAGCAAGTCTTGGGGTGGGCTGTACCTCTTGGGCAGTGGCTATGAAAGTGGCCAAGCCCCCCACTGTTCTAGCAGCCTTCCTGTGCACCAAAGTGGGCAGGTTTTCCTTGTGACAAAAGAGTCTCCAAGGAGGCGGTCAAAGCCTCAGTAGGGCTGCCCCTAGGGTCTAAGTCTCTAGTAGCGAGTACCCATTTGTGAATGTTATCATTGCAGACAGGCGCGATAGCATTACAAGTAGGGATGTTTAGTCCCTCCCAAGTTAATTGTTTGATAAGCACCTCTCTGGTGGGTCCAGACTCCACCCTCTGCTCTACTGCCTCGGTGACACGGGTAAGGAAATCTGTGAAGGACTCCCCTGACTGTTAAATCAAATTACGGAAAAAGACTTGTGGGTCACTGGGGAAGCAATTTAAGGACCTTAAGGGCCAAGTCAGAAACTTGTTGAAAACAGGCATGGAGGCCAATAGTAGACTGGGAGATGGGGTCAGTATATTGTCCATGTCCCATGAGTATGCCCAACGTAATGTTGAGGCCATATTGGAGATTTAGGCATGCCTGGTTTTCAGCCTGATTGTCATACACTGTGTGCCAGTTTAGAAAGACTGAGGGTTCTAGGACTGCCTTTAGTAAGTTACACCAATCATAGTGGGTTTGTAAATGTAAGGACCACTGGCGAAGAACCTATTCAAAATATGGGGAGTCAGGGTCTGATTGCTTAGCTGCCTTGTGGATAAGAATGAGGTCAGCAAGTGGGGTGGGCAGCCATGGATGCTGCGCCAAATCAGGGCTGACGTTAACTGGAAATGTGGACAAAGTTGGGTAAGGCTTTAAGGAGGGCGGTCTAGGAGGGAAGGGCACATTAGCAGGGGAAGGGGTGGGATGGTTATTGCAGGGGAGAGAGTAACTCCTGCCATGGGTAATGGGGCAGGAGAATTTCTGGGAATGGTAGCTCTAGGAGAGTATCCTGAGATATAGGCAAAGGGTCTCCTTCCTTATTGGAAGTGGGCACAGAGGCGGCATCCACCTCCAGGTCTGGGGGATCTGGGAGGTCCAGGGTCGAGGTAATAGCCAGATCTGCACTAGATTGCTCCCGGCAGTGTTTGTTGTGGGCTGAGATGACTTCCTCAGGAGAGGAGGATTTAAGGCTAGCAATGATGGCTAGGAGGATCAGTACAAACGACGGGGGAGTGATCCCTGACCGACCCCCCTTTTTCGGGCCAGGAAGAGGACCCGCATCCACGTGTCAGGATCCCACATTTTCAGGGGAGACCCACAGAGCCAAATTAGTGGCTTCATCCCAAAATTGTTCGATATCTTTTGGTTTCATTTTCAACCCTCTGGTTTTAAGGAGCACCTTGAGTGCTGCCGTTTGTGGTTCCCTGCACTGTGGTGGTAAATTGCCCACTATGGGAGGGTCTCATGAAGGGGAATTCACCACAAAAGTAGAAGATGAGGGTGACTACCAAGAGGGCACAAAGGAAGCAAAGAAGCACTGTGAGCCACTCGGATGTAAACCGCCCTGACATGTAAAGGTGTATTGGATCCAAATGTCTTGTGCTCCATGAGGGACTTCTGGAGGCTGTGACACCTCCAGCCGTATGCTCACACGGTGTCTCCGGGACAGGCAACAGGGTGACCCGAAGCCTGGGCTCTGAGTTTGGGGTGGATCAGCCCTTATGTGAACTCACCGGGACGAGCCGAGACGGGGCAGGTGCCGACGTGGGCTTCGGGACCACATGGTGGAGTGTGCCTCCCTGATCTAACAAACTAGTCCAACAATAAAGACAACAGACAGGGTGGAGGGGACAGAGGAGGGGGCTACTTGCTTACCCTCGAGCAGCTGAAGAAACAAATCCAGGGGCCTACTTACCGAACAAACCGAGGTTCTGGGTGTTGCCAACACCATGGGCAGGGGTTCCTGTTCAGGCACCAGGTGTTGCAGATTCTCCTCAGGCCAGCTGTGAAGACCCTGACCTGGATCGGGTCCCCTGCCAATTGGGGGGGTGGGGGGAAGAGGCATGGAACCATGACACAGACACCAGGAGTGGGGTAGAAGCAAGCACTAGGTGAAGTGCTTCAGGCTCGTTTAATGTAGGAGGGGGCAGGCCTTATATTTCCCTTTTCTCCGCCCCCAAGTCCCTTTAGTCAGTGTATCGTTTTCTGATTGGTCCATGCCACACAGTCTGTCAGCAGTCACTGGGCTCGCAAGCAGGGTATGGAGGCGTGGGATCCTTTTGGCAGGCTATTTGCAGACCAAGAAGTGAAGTGAATGCTCACTGAATCCCAGCGTTCTGGGAGGCCTTCTGCTACAACACCTATTCTTCATTAGAAGGCCCTCTCCATGGTCTCCCACATGTCCATCCATCTTATCAGCAGGGTTTTTTGTTCAAGACTGAGACAAGTTATCTGAAGTTGATAAAGCTGGCGGTTCCTCAGCTTTAAATCCATCATGAGTGTTGCAAATCCATCATGCGTGCAGCATCCACCCGGCTCAGCCCCACATCACCCCTGTGGGTCTTGAGGACAAAGAGAACAGAGGCAAGCGTGAACTTGTGTTGCTAACTGTGCTGTAGCTCAGTAATCAGGAAATCAGGTCTTGAGAGATGTAAACGAAGGCCCATTTTCCTCTCTTTGTCCCTGTGTGGCCTCTTGGCATCCATGGACTAATTCATTAACTTGTGAGTGAGGTAAAAATCTGACTTGCATTTTGACATTGTCTCTCTTAAGGAAGGACCCTAAAATTATCCTTTTCAAGTTCCCACAAAATTTGGATCCTCTCTGAATTTACAGATGATACTTTATATCCAACAGAGATTTATTTTGATTCACAATGTTGAGCAATACATTGACTACATCTCTAGCTCCAGCTCCACGTTGCTTTTCTCTCACAGCTAGTATGTAACAGCTCTCAACTACAGTATGATGAAACACATGTGCATTGTGATCGGTTGTATGGCATATCACAAGCAACCTGTCACTGATAAAGTAACACATATACACATATTGTGAGTTATATTTTTTTAAAGATTAGAGATGATTCAAGCTTACCTCTACTGTGTCATTATAAGATTCCTCAGGACTGGAGAGATGGCTCAGTGGTTAAGAGTGCTTGCTGTTCTTCCAGAGGATGCAAGTTTGGTTTCCAGCACCCACATAGGGTGTCTCACAACTCCCTATAACTCCAGGTCCAGAAGATCTCCTGCCTACTTTTAGCCTCTATGGGCACCCACATACATGTGTGCACATACATACACAGACATACACATAAATGAGTCTTTTTTTAAGAAAGGAAGGAAGGAGAAGAAAGAAAAAAGAATGAATTCGTCTATTAGGATTTTTTCAGCTCAAAATAATGAAAAAATGCAGACCTCAAATGCTAACCAACAAGGGACTTTATTATCTTGTGCAGCAAAATATCTCTAGAGAAGAACCCTCCATGACTGGTTAATTTGGTGACCTCACAGCCACTTCAAAGTCCCACTGTGATGGTTTGAATGAGAATGTCACCCATGGACACACATATGTGAATACTTGGCCCAGTTGGTGGCACTGTTTATGGAAGTTTAGGAGGTACAGCATTGCTGGAGGAAGCACATCACTCGGGGCAGGCTTTGAGGGTTCATAGCCCTGCCTCACTTCCAGTTTTCCCTCTCTGCTTTCTGTGCCTGCTTGAAGATGTGAGCATTCAGCTTTTTGCTCTAGTTGCCTCCTGCCATGTCTCCTCTACCATGATGGACTCTTATCCTTCTGGAATCATAAGCCCAATAAACTCCTCCTTCTATAAGTTGCCTTGGTCATGGTGTTTTATCACAGCAACAAATAAGTAACTAATACACCCAATTTGTCTATTTTGCTACATTTCATCAACCAGACCTTCTCAAGGTTGCAGAATGGCAGCAGTAACTGAAGGCCTGGAGTTCTGCCCTAGGTCTTTTTCTTTTCTTTTCTTTTAACAGCTAATAACATTTTACCAGAAGTCTCTAGCCTCCTAAAGATTTTATTCATTCTCTTCTTCTCAATGACCATTCTGATCATATGCCTTCCTATGCCACTGACTGACAAACAGGATAGAATACATGATTGACTTAGAAAATTAACATTTAGTCCTCTGTTCATGCTGCTTGAACAAGCTTACCTGAAGCATATGACTTTACAGAGCAGCATGGGTAGCTGAACAAAAGTCAGTGTTCTCTTAGGAATGAATCAGGGTGTGGTAGTTGATAAGCAAGTGACTACTATAATCACTTACTGGGATTCTGATGTGCTCTGCGGGGGGGCGGGGAACAAAGGGACTGAGGTATAATTAGCGCAATAGAAGTGGCTCTTGATGCAGTGTCTCGATGGAAGTGCATGATGAGATGGTCCAGATGGACACTTCCTTGCCTCTCCATCTCTGGTCTTCACCTTGTAATACATCACTTGAGCCAGGGCAATCTGGTAGAGCTTCATAATATGGACAGTCCTCTTTGTATGGCTATGATGAGAAATTTCAGTATCATGATTTCGTTAAATAATACCAGTTCCTCAACAGTTCTGATTTCAGTTACCATAGAATACTGACATGAATAATTACAGAAAGTATGAACCTCACAGCCATCACTTTAGTTCACCTATCACTATATAAATGAAGACTACATCCATCATAACTTATGACCATTCGTGTCTGTTTGGATGGTGTGGTTGTCCATTGAAACTGGGTTTGGATACCAAGGCTGATGAGGCTGCAATGCTCCAAGAGGGTGTGCCTGTTATTCGCACTGGCTTGTTATTTACATAATTGAAGCTTTATGGGGAGAACAGGGCAGCCCTCCCAAACTGGCATAAAAACAAAGGAGAGAAGCTGGAAAGTTACTGTGTTCACAGAGCGGGTAAGTGGGGGCTCTGCATCAGAGGCTTACATCATGGTTTGACTGTCTCCCTAGCACCTCAAGAAGGATTGCCCAGCCTCTCATCAGCTTGCCCAGATGCAGGGTAGGAAGGGAAGAAAATGATCTGAGCCTTAAAAGATGTCAATCAATATTAAAAACTGGAGTCAGATTAAATATTATGATACCAACTATTCTGAAGTCAGCATATGTTGGGTCTCTGTGTTTCTTATGGGTTCACACAGAGACTGCTGAGCATGTATTTGTGTTGTCTGTTTCCTTGTCTCCCAATGTAAAATCTACGTGACATTTGACAAAAGTGCTTAAGGGAAAGGAAAAAAAAAAAAAAAACCTAGCCAACAAAATACAAGTGTGGAAAAGAAATAAATGGCAGATAATTCAGCATGTAAGATTGGAATTCACCATAAATAGAGTCACAGAAAAAACAGCAGACTGGGAAGAGGTGACCCCACCACTGCTTAGAAACTCCTGGTGTACAGCGAGGGAAAGTCCCTAATGGCAAGACTATTCCTTCATGAAGGAGGAAGATCTGTGACAAAGAGAATAAAGGTGGCCCAGAGGAAATGATGCCAGCCAAACACTTAACATCCACTGAACTTTGAGAACTATTTCAAAACACAGAAAGCATGAAGAATAACAAGAAACAGTGCCAGACAGGAGAAAGAAACCTTCCTTTGAGTTGTTGGCTAGGGTAGTACAAGAGATTCCCCAAACTACACAGGCTATTGCCACAGAACTTGATTGCCTCCCAGAACTTGAAGGTAAGGCCTTATTACTGATGACAGAACATACTTTGGACACAGGATTTGGAGCAATGGAGCTGGAACTGACCTGGAAGCCACCTTTCCTGAAGGCTAGCTCTCATAACTTTGGCAAGCATTATGCAGGCTACTAAGGGAGAACATCAGTGGATGGTCCAACCCCAGCTTCAAGGCCTAAAAACCACATCAATGACTGGCACAGCCAACAGCATTGGTGCAGCAGTGGCACTTTTATCTTGGGGGTCGTCAACAGCTACCCAATTGGACTTAAAGCCAAGTCAATGGGAGGAGACTCATGAGTGGTACTGTAAACCTAGCCAAATACACATAGCTGGAGAGGTCATAGATCTTAGAGAAAACCCCAAGGCTGTCACATCCCTAAACAAATGTAATTTCTTACTATGTGCAAAATATGGATCCTTAAATTTACAGACAAATATCCCAGTTACCACCCATCAAAGAAGCTTCTTTTTCAACAGACAGAGATTATTACAGAGTTCCACAACTGGTCACAGACAAAGATCCTCTGTGAATTACCCAAGACTAAGTGGCACACGTAGGATGCAACCTCTACACCTAAGGCTCATGGACCATAGAACAAGGGATGAAGAGAACACCAATGTATCATTCAATTCTCATCAATGAAGTTCCCTTATGCAACAGAGGGCCAGGAACACAAATGGCCAAAATGTAGAGAATAAGTCTCCAGAGTGTGGGCCCTTGGACAGGACTCTTATATTGAAATCCACTTACCCAGGGGTCAGGGACCATTGCAGAAGAGGGGGGCAGAAAGATTGTAAGAGCCAAGGAGGATGTGCATAACCATATAGAAATAGAGTCCTGGGACTCTTCTCATACAAACCTACAGAAATGGTGTCAGCACGTACAAGACCTACGCAAACTCAAGAAGACAAAAACCCAGCACAGAACTGTGGAAATGGACAGCAGGCCCCAATCTTAGTTGAAGAATTATTGGCAGCTGTTTACTGCTAGGTGAGGAAGAGCTGATCTTCTTAAAGGGAGGGACCCTAGATATGCTGACTAGATCCCAGTGGATGAACTTGCACTAAGGGACATCTGGGGACACTAACCTGACATGATAGGCTTTAACACAAATGACAGAATGTATGAATTACAGTCAGGGGGGCTATGAGAGGGGGCCAATGGGGAAGGGATTATAAAGATGATTAAGATGTTCTGTATGAAATACACAAATAATAAATTTAAAATCTTTTAAATGTTGACAACTGATCTAAGAAAGAAGTATAACAATTCATCAATCCTCAAAAAATTAAAAAGAGAACTACTATATGATCCTGTAACATCCCACCAACACCTTCTTAGCTTTCTGTCATTATAATTAAATATCTGAGATCATCAGTTACAGGAGGAAAGGTTTGTTTGGGTTCACAGTTTTCACTCCATGACTAATGGGCCCCAAAGCTCTGGGCCTGTGGTGAGGTGCCACATCAGGGCAGGGACTGCCTGGTGGAGCAAACTGTTCTCCTTGTGGCAAAAATGGAAGAAAAGAAGAAAAGGCTGGGATCTCAGTATCCCCTTTGAGGCCTTCCATGACCCAAACTTGTTCTTACCTTTTTTTTTTTTTTTTTTTTTTGAGATACAGTCTTACTGTATCCCCTGGCTGGTCTGGAACTCACAGAGCTCTGTCTGCCTCTGCCTCTGAGTGCTGGGATTAAAGGCATGTGCCATTGTGCCTAGCCGAGGGCTCACCTCCTTACAGCACCAAGCTAGGGACCAAGTCTTTAATCAACAAAGGACTTTTGGGGGACATTTAAATTCTAAATTATAGCACCACTAGATGAATACCAAAAAAATGAAATCAGATGTCAAGGAGACATCTGTGCTGCTATGTTTATTGCAGTACCTTCACCACAGCCAAGAAATGGAAACACCACGCATGTCCATGACTGATGAATGGAGAAAAACTGTGGCGCATACACTGGAATATGGTTCAGTCATTAAAAGGTGAAATCTTATCATTTGCAGCTGTTTGGGTAGAAAGGTGGATCATTATGTTAAATGAAATAAACCAGGCACAGAAAGGGAAGCACCACTGGGGATTATTATGCTAAGCGAAATAAGCTGAACAAAGAAATGAAAGCATCACATGCTCTCATTTATATGTGGATTCTTAAAAACTTCATCTCTTGGGGTCTGGAGAGATGGCTCAGTAGCTAAGAGCACTGGATGCCCTTGCAGAGGACCCGGGTTTGATTCTCAGCACCCACATGGTGGCTAACAACCATCTGTAACTCCAGTTCCAGGGGATCCAACATTCTCTTCTGACATCCATTGGCACTGCACAACACAGGTGCACTTACATATATGAAAACAACGCACTTATACACATAAAATAAGAAATAAAATATTTTTTCAAAAATTTCATCTCATAGTGACTGTGAGTACAATGTTGGTTACAGGAGCTTTGGGAGGAGGAGGGAAGGACAGTACCAGGTGATCAATAGAAATCACTATGTAGACCAGGTTGGCCTCAGACTTAGAGATCTGCCTGCCTCTGCTTCCTAAGTGCTGGGATTAGAGCCATGCACTAATCCCAAGTTATACTAATAATATATATTATGTAATAGCTAATATATAGCAATATAATAACTAAGTTATATTAACAGTAAGGTGGAACAAGAAGTTCCTGGTGTGTCATTGCACATCAAGTTGGTTACAGATAACAATAATATACCGTGTTTCAAAGGCTAAAAGAAAGGATTGTAAATGTTTTCTTAATCAAGATATGATAAATATCTGAGGAGCTATGCTTAACCAGATTTAAACATTACACAATGCAAATATGTGTAGAAACACACAGTGCTCAATAAATATGTATGATTAGACTTACATGTGTCCATTAAAATAACTTTAATTTTAAAAAGCCACCAAGGCATAGAAAGATGCCTACTCTCTATTGTAGGTTAAAAGGCAAGCATAATTTAAATTAATCTTGGTATTTTTCCCAAAACATATCTGGTGTTTTCTAATAAAATATTTTAAATAAATGCTAACTTTTTTCATCTGTTTACATATTTATAGCCATGCAACAACAGCATCTTTCCAATGCTTCAATAAACATTTCTAAAAGCCCTACAGCCCTCAAAACTGTGCCCACTGGTTTCAAGATCACTTGGCCCTGTCTGAGCTTTCATGATCACTTTCAGGGTCCCCCACTACCAAGCCAGAGAGGACTGCCTGTACCATTTTCCCCCCCGTTCTGTAGCATGTAGGTCTTTTGATCACTCCCCACTTGGTGAAATCCAACTCTCTTAGTTCACCATGACCATGCTGTCTCCAGACCCCTTGCTCTTCCCTTCCCAGCACCCACATGGTGGCTGACAATCGTCTGTAAGTCCAGTTCCAGGGGATCCTAGGCCTTCTTCTGACCTCCACGGGCAGTGCATGACACGGATGCACTTACACACATGAAGGCATTACATTTATTATACACATAAAATAAAAATAAAAATAGTAAATAAAATATTTAAAAATATAAAAGATAAATGTGACTTCTTCCAATTTTGTGTTCCTAGTGAAACAGAGACATGTGCTCTGCGTTTATAAACCTAGTTCTAAATGCAGCTGAATTTTGGTGGGTAACGTGATCATGCTTTGCAAGCGTGCCAGCTCCTATCATGTTCAGAACCTAGTGTTCTGAGGTGCTCAAGTTCACGCAGAGGAATTTGCTAAATAAACTCCTGGCAAGGCAGCAGCAGTGAGATTCTAGAGCCTTAAATACTTCCAAATAGAAATGGCAAAACAAACCACCCAAGTCCTTAATTCCTAAACTTTCGGAGTTTGAATCTCTTACCATTTGCAGTTTCACCTGCTTGCTTTCCAAGGACACACACTATTTACAGCTTGTTTGAAGAACTAAACGGAATAACAACGTGTCAGAGGAAATCAGCAATTCAGTTAAGACAACTGACTTTTTGAGTTTCGGCAACCCCCTACCCCCACCCCCAGCGCCCCAGGAACAACTTGAGCTCTGGACAGCGCTTACAGAGGTTATTCCCACAGTGTGCTATGTTTGCGGGACAGATGGCCTAACAAAAGTGCATAGTTTTGGGGGGCTGCGCACAGTGCTAGTAGTGAACCTAAGGAGGGAAAGGTCTGGACTGACCAGCAGGAGAATAGGCGTGCGGGCTCCCAGCGCTGCAGTCTGTCCTCCGGGCGACAGGGGGCGCGCGCTCCCTCCCCGCTGGGCACGGCCCCGCCCGCACCGGCGCTTCCTGCCCCTCCTTGTCCGGGATGCTGCTGCCGCTGCTGCGAAGTAGCTGCTTCCCTTCCTCGTCTCCCGGCGGCGGCGGTAGCGGCGGCGGCGGCAGCGCGGAGCGGGCAGAGGGCAGCCGGCAGGTCACACAGCTGCAGCGCGGAGTCCGCGGACCGCCGGGACCGTTCGAGGGGGCGGACGCTGAGCTTGGGGCCGAGGGGGCGCCGGGTCCTGGGGCGCACGGCCGACGGCGGGCCGAGCGCGATGGGCGCGGGCTCTCCGGCGCTGTCGGGCGGCCAGGGGCGCCGGAGGAAGCAGCCCCCCAGGCCGGCGGACTTCAAGCTGCAGGTCATCATTATCGGCTCCCGGGGCGTGGGCAAGACCAGCCTGATGGAGCGCTTCACCGACGACACCTTCTGCGAGGCCTGCAAGTCCACCGTGGGTAAGCGCGGCCGCCTGGCCTGGCCTTCACGCGTGTCAGGTGGGCCTGGCGGGGAGATCCGGGTGGGGGTCTGCGAGGAAGCCTCTGACCTGGCTCCCAGAGCCAGGCCGAGTTCGCGATGGCTCCTTCCACGGGTTGCTAATCCCCACCCCAGAGCCCTGGACGTTCGTTCTCTCCCGCAACCCTCCACCCGCGGGTCATGAGATCGGGTTGATGCATCTGTGTCTCCGCGGAAACTGCCGGCCTCCTACATCTCGCCTAGGAAAACGGTGTTGTGAGGTGGGAAACTAAAGCTAAATAAGGCCGCCCACTGTTGCGGTGCCCCGGGGTCACTATCCATAGTGGGATTGGATTTCTTAGCTTTGCGGGCTAGGAGGAAGGAACCAGGGCTTTAGTTCTCATTTTACATCCATTTTTAGTTTACTGGAAAGAAGTGTAAAATACGCTACAGACATCGGTGAAACTAAGAGTACACTGCAGTTTCTTGTTTTGGGTACAAATGTGGGGCAGAGGGATTTGAGCTTTGTGTATCCTTGACCTCAAACAACCGGGTGACTGGCAAAGAAAGAACTGGCCTCCAAGTCCACACCCCGGATGAGGGAGGTACAGTGAAGTCCCTAGGTAACGCTCCTGGTTGATAGCCAAAAATCTAGATTTGAAACTATAAGAAAATGTTTTGATGACGTCAGATTCACAAGACTTGACATTGTGATTGTCAGGGGTATGAGTACCAGTTGTTTCTATGGAAAAGCTTTTAAAAGCTCCCAAAGCTAAGGTAACTCAGTATTAGAGTGGGTCTTCAGAATAAACAGCCCTCAGTTTCACGGGTAGGCAGGAGGGATTGGTGCCAGGCAAGAAACCCTGAACAGTTCGAGATTTGAAATACTGAATGTAAAGTCTCATGCTTTACTCTTATATTTACAGTTGTAACCGGTGATTGTTCCAATTTTGAGACGAAGTAGCTCCGTAGAGAATTTTAGGAACTCTTTCGAGAATTTTCAGTGGGTAAATTGTCACATAACGAAACGACTACATTTAAGTGTCATGCTGGAAAATTAAGCTTCCAATTTTCATAATGAGTTTTTTAATTCATTTTTGAGAACTTCCCTTAATGCTTTTTTGGAATAGATTATTTTGGAAATATTTCTGTACATTCCATCCTGTTTGTTTTTTAAATGTTAGTCTTGGGGCATATTAAAATATAGTAACATAATTACACCTGTTTCAGATATCCAATCTTGGATCATAAGAGTATAGAGAGTCTCTAAACTAAGAAATGAGGCTTATGTTATTTTGTTAGTGTCTGACATAAATGCAGTAAGGTTAAGAGCAGTTGAGAATTGTCTTTTATGCCCCACACTTAACATTTGTGAAAATAAAAAATAATGTAATTGACTTTTGTGATGAAGGAAAATCAGTGCAGGTGCTAATAGCACTGAGACGGCTTGGGGTACCAGGTGAGCCAGGGAGTGGGTAAAGCATTAGAACAGGTGCTCTGAGCTGGGCACAGTGGAACTTCGCACACCTGTGTTCTGGAAAGGTCTCTTAGGAGATTTGAATATAGGTGGTTGGAGACCTTGCCTCATCATTCTGAGGAGGGTGGACCTGCCCTGGGGGCCCAGGAACCATAAAGACCTCTTAAGACATTGGCACAAAGGCAGTACAACTGGTCTGGGACTGTGTAGGAATGAGTAGGAAACAGGCACACATAAATAAGTGCACATATATAAGCATGTGTCTTCCCACAGAGTGTGGCTAAATTTTTGACTTGGGCATTTTGTTTGTTCCATCCATGGCCTAAAGTAATTGGATCAGTAGATGTTTCTAGTTGTGGGAAGTTCAGAGAAAGATGGTAATTGGCCTAATCCAGAGTGTGAAGACCCTAAAGCTAACGAGCTTCTCTTCAGCAACTACCTCTGAGTTGCGTTTCCCTTCTAGTAAGCAGGTCATTTCTTAAGCACCTACTATGTGGTGGGTGTTGTATTGCCTGTGAGCTTCAGTGGTAAGCAGGATATGGGCTCAGTCTGGAGTTCAGTCAACTCACAGGGAGCTAGATTACAGGTGAGTGAGGAGGGCAGCTGTGCAGAATATTTAATTTACACAGCAGAAGCGCCTCCTATCTTGAGGGCTTGTTAGAGGAGGCTTCCTTCTCATGGATTGTGAAGCCAAGTTCATTCCTCAAGTTCCTTTACAAAAATGCTACTTAAACATGGCACTGGGTGTGGCATAGCATTGTGGCTATCATTTGAGCAATAAGTAGTCTACTAGGGTCCTTCTGTGGCTGGTTTTTCTAGTTTCTTCTCATCCTACTACGAAGAACTCCACAAGGAGCAAGAGTGTCTTCCCAGGCTGCTTTCCCTACTTACTGGGTCAGGGCTTGTCCATGTCCGCTGCTTGTCAGCACAGCTGGAAAGAACTGAGCACATATGTACACTGAAGTGAGTCACTGAAACAGTGGCATGGCACCTATCATTCAGAGGCTAGAAGAGGGTCTCTTTAAGCACCTTTTCCAGTAGATCAGCTACCTGTGGTTTCTGTACTACAGGGAGTAGTGGAAATCCTTAGAGATTTGAGGTGGTGAAGTTTTGAATCAGGAGAATGTTGTTGGTTTTTTTTTGTTTTTTTATATATTAAACATAGCTGACTAGGTTTAAAACACAAAATTCATAAGGATGTGAAAAGCTACAAAAATTGTTTAAACTATTTAATGGAAATTGTTTAGGTGGAGTGTGGTTTTCAAGGAGGCTTTGTATCCCTGGAGTTGAATTAGTCTGATATACTACCATGATTTGACAGGGTCTTTTAAAAATATAGGAGCAGCTTTTTTGAAGTTAGAGAAATAAAATAAAACCAGTTTTCTGGGACTGGAAAGATGGCTCAGCAGTTATGGGTGTGTTCTGTCCAGTTCCCAGCACCCACACAGGATGGCTCACAACTGCCTACAACTCCATCTCCAGATGATCTGACTCCCTCTTCTGGCTTCAGCAGGCACCTACACTCATGTGCATATACCCACACACAGGCATACACATAATTTTTAAAATGCTTTCTTTAATTTTAAGTGTTTTAAGCTCTAGTTTGCTATAGAAACTTGTAACTGTTGAACATATTCACCTGATCCATTTTTTTTCTTGTTCATATGTATGTATCATAAGCATGCTCTCTATGCACTACTGTGGATCTGTGTGCCTATGCCCGTTTGTATGACTACCTTCAGGGTGGAAGACAAGCCACCTCTCTGTCTAGCAAAGCTGAGTCCCTCATCTATCTTCCTGCTATTAGACTCTTAAATTTAGCATAAGCTTTTTTAAAAGCATATTTCAAAAAAATCCATAAAAATGTTTATTTCTCTGTAATGATTGGAAGGTAGCTGTTCATTTCGTTTAGATTAAGATGGTTTTACTAGGTAGAACTCCACCCCTGCTTTCTCAGTACAACAGCAATTAAATTCTAGAAAAGACACTAAAGTAAGAATGGGGAGCCTGGCTCTGGCTGTAGGCTGTGCCCCTAACTAGTTTGTTCCTTAGGACATGTAATTTAGTTGTCTGCCTATGGAGTGCATCATTCTGTTAGCTGCTGCTGCTTGCTGGGCACTTACTGTGTCTCAGCAAAAGGCCTCCCAGCAGTCCTCAAAGTCAGCCCATTCTACAGGCAAGGATTAAAGCTTCAGAGAAGTAAACTTACTCCTTTGGCACAGCTGGTCAGTGAGTGGTCAGGCCAGGGCTGCCAGTGAATTCTTCCTCCTGTCCACTCCTTAGCTTACTTAGGATTTAAATTGACTTTGCTTTGTTGAAAATACTAATGGCTGGGACTGGAGAGATGGCTTAACAGTTAAGAGCACTTGCTGTTCTTGAAGAGGACCCAGGTTTGATTCCCAGCACCCACACAGAAGCTAACAACCGTCCATTACTCCACTTCCATAGGAATCTGACACCACCTTCTGACCTCTGCGGGCATTACACAACACAGGTGCACTTACATACAGGCAAGCAAAACACACATATGCATAAAATAAAAATTTTTGTAAAAAGAAAATACTAATGGCTGACACATGCAGAAGTCACAGCCTGAAACTTTCTCAGTTTTCTGATTTGGTCCTAGAAGCAGCCCTTTGAAGATCATAATGTAATTTGTTTCATAGTATCAGTTGACCTTTTCTTTTAGCAGTATCTGTATTAACATTTTGATAGTAAAATAATGTTCTACCTGGGCATAATGGAGCATATCTTTAATCCTAGCACTTGGGGAGGCAAAGAAGCAGGCAAATCTGAGTTCAATGTCAGCCTAGTCTATATATCGATTTCTGGGCCAGCTAGGGCTACAAAGTGAGACTGTCTCAAAAGTAAAATAATGGTCTAGGAATTGCATTTTTTTACTCAGACACGTGGAACATCCGTAATCAGAAAGTTCAAACCTTAGAACCACAGACATGATGCTACAATTGGAAAATTCCACACCTAGCATCTTGATGGTTCCCAACCAAAACATTCCACACTAAAAGTGTTGCATTAAATGCCCCTCCTGCTGTATTTGTAAAGTAGATATGAAACACAAATGACTTTTTTGTTTAAATTTCCGTCCAGTTTCTATCGTTTCCTTATGAATATATAAGCAAATAGTCTTTAAATTTTTTTAAATGTGCCAGGCCTGGTGGCTCACACCTTTAATCCCAGCACTAGGGAGACAGAGGCAGGCAGATCTCTGAGTTCCAGGCTAGCCTGGTCTACATAGTAGGTTCTGGACCAGCTGAGGCTAAAGGGAGACCCTGTCCCAAAAATGCCCCCCAAAAAAGAGTTTTTTAATGCAAAATTCAGAATATTTCTGAAAGCAATATGAATAGGAGATATGGAAACTCAGATTTTCCAGTTTCCTTGAAACACAGGAGGTCATTGATGTAAGGCTCTCTAGACCAGAATTCTGCCATTCTTGGGCAGTAAAATTTCCCCTAAAAATTAGCGCCTAGAGACCACCATAGGATTGCCAGTTCTTTTATTTTTCTA